ATTCCTCACTGTAGGGTGAATTTAGCAAATTACCCATGTAGCCCGAGAGAAAGGCAGGTCACCGAGCCTCCCCATGCACAGTGCTTTGTTACTGGCAGCTCAAGCACTGAGGGCCTGGCTGGCGACTTAATTTGTACAACACTCAAAAAGCAAGACTATGCACTTAAAGGTTATAAAGTCTGGCTTCACACTTACTGGGATGTTGGGCAGCTCACTTTACTACCATATATACTCGTGTATAAGCCGAGTTTTTCAGCACATTTTTAATGTAGTTTTTGTGTGTGCTGATATTCAGGTCAGCTTATACTTGATTATATAGGGTACTCTGAACCACATTACAGTCATGACCAGACAGCAAAGAGCTCTGCTTACCTCAGTTGCTGTGCTTGAATGCACAAGTGCTACTCCTTCCTCCAAAGTGTCATCATTTGGTGAGGGGCGCCGAGCATAGGTTCTTCGGTGCATTTCATCCACTCTAACCAGGTACCATGTTCCTTCAAAGAGTGAATCGATTGAACCCTGGGGAATATGGTTGACTACAAGAAAGGCAGAGAATATGAAAAATTTGTTATGTCATGAAACTCATTGGTAATCAACCTCAAAGTTAGAAGGTAAAATATTTCCCTAAAATCTTTACCCATAAAATTATCAAATCCAGTGTGGACATCCCTGTCTTATAAATAGCATGATTTTATCCCTCTGTTGTGGACTGAATTGTGGGTGCTCAACTATCTATCAAATCGGGTAGGCTGTGATTCCCAATATCCTGTGGCTGCCTTCCATTTGTGATTTGATGTAATAATCCTCTACTTTGTGTTAGGTGCTGTAAATCTTAAGCTCTATATCTTAATGAGGCAGGATAAGGATGGGTTGGATCTTGAATCACAAAGTTTTACAACAAGGTTTGACTCAAGACTTACCTTTCCTTGAGTCACACTTTTATCTTGCAAGAGATGAAGTGAGCAGAGAAAGAGGGACCTGACTACCACTTAGAAATAAGAGCTGGGAACGGAGCACATCCTTTGGACCCAGAGTCCAGACAGTGAGAACATCCTAGATCCTGGGGAAGACTGATGCAAAGATTCCTGGAGATCTCCAAGGAATGTCACACTCATATATGCTGAAGCACACAAGGGTCCTCCCCTAGAGCTCGTGCCTTAAATTCAGACTTCTAGCCAACTAAACTGGGAGAGAATACGTTTGATTGTTAAAGCCACTCACTTGTGACATCTGTTACGGCAGTTCTAGATCACCAAGACACCCGCCTCCCTCCAACAGGCTTGATCTATATTTACGTGTAAACATGCATGATGAAATTTTCTTACCTAAGTGATGAGTGTCCTCTCTGAGCTTCATGGTTTCAGCAAAGACATCTGGTGCCACACAAGTTCTTGAGTCAAGCCTTGATTTAAGGTCACATAAACTTGCTGTTATTTTATCAAGAGCAGACCCTAAAATAGTAAATAATTTCAATATTGAGACTAAAACTAGCATGCCACAAGGAAGCCCGAATAAACTATTGCAAAAGAGATTAAAGACACATTTTTTATTTCTCTTAGATTCGAGGGCTACTGCTTCGTTAGTAGAAAATATGGTGAGTTAGTTAACTGTGCCAGCCTGGCCGATAATCACATGTGGGTCTGGTTGAAAGGCGGAGGGATAAATGGGTGGTGAAGCCTCGCCTTTCTAGTTCTCGGGTCTCTTGTTTTGTGATGGTTGTATCAGGTGCAGCTGCCTTAGCAGTTCCCTGCTTCAGCTTGCAAGATTGACTTCCTCCAAGACATCCCCAAGGAGAAGCCGCATGGATCTATCCCGATGCAGCCCTGGGTGCTGGAGCAGCCGTGTGGAGACCCTTGCCAGTGCTGAGATGCTTACACGTTCACGGACTCAGCTTTCCTCCTGCAGTCGGCATCATTGCCTCTGTTTTGTGAGGTGGAGGACTTTGTGGACTGGTGTTGGGTTAATGGGTTAATGTTGGACTTGTGGGCTTGGGCAGCATTGGGTTGGGATGTTTTCGTGATGCACACTTTCTTTACATAAAACTCTCTCTTATACGTGAGGTGCTGTGGATTTGTTTCTCCAAAGTACCTAGACTAATACATATGGGATCTAATTGATCCCCGTTTTCTATGACCTCTGACTACATGTTTCAATATTAGCCAATAAACAAGTTAGGACACAGGGGAGATTTGAAGCTATGTAGCTTTCCTACAGTTAATCCACTGTATAATTTTAAAGTAATGTCCAATCTTCCAGTTTTTCTTCTTCTTTCCCATTCGGCAACAGCATAAAAGTTTCCTTATAGAGTCATTATCTATAAAAATTAGTTTAGTATAAAATAAAATTAAAAAGGAATGCTTCTGCTATTTTTCACTCATACCATCAGACGTAATCATAAGTGTAAATATTCACATGCTGGCTGTATTTAAAAATATACCTTCCCTACACACCTTTATGGCCTAACTACATATAGTGAAAAATAAATAAATAAAAAGACATCATTATTGGCCTAAGAAGAAAGCACAACAACTCTAATTCAAGCAGAGTCCTGCCCTTTAGCTAGTTCAGGCAAATATTTAGGGTAAAGAGCAAAAATGAGCCTGTATTAAAAGAAGATGAAAATGTTATAATAATCTATGGGATAGGTCCCAGTGCTTACCTGACCAGCTGTCAACGGAGTTGACACTTGGCACTCACCTGGTGTAGCATCTTGTGTAACTTTAAGGGAGTACAAGGTGGCAGCCAAACCAGAACCATAAGAGAAGACGCCAATCCTCTTGCCTGCCAATTGCTGAGGTGAGTACCTGCATGGGGAAATATAGAGCCATCAACAACGAATGCATGGAAAGCCACAAAAGTTGAAAGAAAATGTCATACTATAGCCTCAGGGATTAAAAGCTTTAATTTTACCATAAGCCCACTGAAAGCAAACGTTTTCACCTCTTTGAGAGTGACAATATAAGCATCTCTGTGAGTGCATACACAAACAGGTATAAAGTGGAATGAAGCACCCAAGGGGAGGGAAAGGAGTAAAAGACCTGACTGGAAGAGAGACGAACTGGTATCAAAGCTTATCTTTTGGACTTAGGGAGAACCTCCTAGACCAGGGGAAGTTATATCAAGACACGGGGTATCTCCAGGGAAGGCTGAGCCCACAGACGCTGAAAGGAGGCAAGGACTTTCCTCTAGATCTGACAGAGAAAGCCTTTTTCTTCAGAGTCAGCACCCTGAATTTGGACTTTTAAGCCTCCTAAACTGTGAGAAAATATATGTGTTCAATCCATCCCCCGCCTTGTGGTATTTCTGTTTTAGCAGCACTAGATAAGTAAGACATGGTTCAACCAAAAGTCAAGAATGAAAAATGAACCCAATTAAACAGTGGCCAGGAAAGTCAGGGAGACCAGACATACTTCTGGAAGAACCCTAACTTCAACCCGTGTGTTTTTCCAGTCTATAGACAACAACAGATTTAGAGAGACTGGAAGTAAAATGATATCCTATGACTTAGCATTAATATTACAAGTTTGACACAGTAAAGTGAGGGGAGTAATACGGCTGAAATGTATACTTACTGTGCTAGCACAGAAGCAAGGGAACCATAGACTGAAGATGTGTACATATTTCCATTTTGATTTGATACAAGCAAAGATGCCTTTGTTTTCTGATTAAAGAGTTCAGAACTAGCCTTCATAAATGCCTTTTCCACATCTCTATCAAAGTAAGTATCTTCTAATTTAACATCCCTGAAAGATTAAAAAAAATTTTTTAAAGGTAAATTCAGTATTTAAACATATTATTTTATTATATCAGATAGTGAGGGTCTAATTAAAAGTCAAGTCTATGGTTCTTCTGTTTCCCCAGTAGTTAAAAACCACTCTTCCAGATACCCAGAAGCATGCTAACTGCTATGGAAAATGTGAAGAGAGAGGTCCACCTTTAAAGGTTTTTTCACAATGTCTAGCCAACTGATCTCAATGTATTAATAAATCAATCAGAGCTTTATTATTACCACACAAAACACTGATTCAAGTCCATAATAGGGTTATTTAGTTAGAAAAAGTCATAATACCAAAGAAGGCAAATCTTAAAAGTTGAATGGAATTTTACCAAATGGAAAAGAAATGGACACAGGCAGGGAGAAATAGAATGAATCTTGACTTGACAGCATGCTAAAAAGCTGTCGAACTGACTGACTTATTGTGACCCCATGTGTCAGTAGAACTGGCCTCCATCGGGTTTTCAGGAGCTGGTTTTTTAGATCTCCTGACTTATTGTGACCCCATGTGTCAGAGTAGAACTGGCCTCCATC